GTATATTATAAGCCATCATACTTAATTTTTTAAATTCTTATTGGAAGCACCTTAACTTTGTAATTAATTTACCATCATAATCACTAAGTATGCCAAAGGTATCTTCCTATATCTAAACTTATTATTTTAATTAAAGATTGGGACTTAAGATAGTCTACAATTTATTAATGATGTTTGTTTATGATTCAAATTTCTTACTTAGTTTTACTAGTTACATTCCACTGATTTCCACCATTATTGTTATTCCAACTAAACTTAGGTTTATTTCTTCAACCTATATTATAAGTATTAGAACAGGGATGATTTTATCTTCTCATTAAATTCATATTCTTAATCTCTTGATCACTAGACTCACTAATACGATTCAACTGATTATCTTACAAATGCATATTTTCTCGTGAACCTGGAGTAACTCCAAAATGAACTAACTTCTTAGATATTGATTCTACCTAAGCAATCAAAATTGATAATTCATATGACTCATATGCACTAACCACTCTTTTAGGATCCTATCAGAATGATATTGGAAAATATTTGTTTCCATATCCTCTATTAAGTCATAAGCCTCTTCAAAAGGCTTTGACAATGAAGAACCTCCATCTACAACATTAATTAGTAACATAGGGGATTCTACAAGCCCTTATAAAAAGTCTGAATTAACTATAGGAAAAATGAAATATCTATCAAGTAACTGAAGAGTAATAGAAGTAGTTTGAACCTCTCCATTATCTAGTGCTTTAAAAATAGTGGGTGGTATGAGGTTAATAATTTTTCCTAATTCACATAAAGCCCTACCACAAAATTTATCTCTAATATTTAAAGCAATGAAAAAACTCCTTTAGTCTTTAAGTTTTTTAGAAAGTTTCATTTGGATTATAGCATTACAATCTTTAGCTAATGCATTAGTTTCAAAATTTTTTGAAAGTTCGTTAGGGATGTTAGGCCCTTATGAACTAGTCCCAAGGCTAACCAGAAGGGGTGAATTAGTATTTTAAATAAAATCTTTCAGCAATCAAAACATAAACCAAGATTCACCATAGAAATCAAAGTACGGAAATTAAATGTGGAAATAATAAAGGAAAGAACACACCAGATTTATAATGGTTCGGTCAAAGCTTGACCTACATCCACTCCTCGGAGGCACCCTTCGAGTATTACACTAAACTCAGTGTCTCTCTGCCTAGCTATCCTTTAGCCCCCACAAGTAGGTGGAGAAGCCCTTACAAAATCACTTCCACCTTCCCCGGTGTGGTAGAGTAGCTGGGTCCTTTGACACCAAAGAGATCTTCTTCTTCCTAGAACTTCCCTCAAGACAAGCCTTGAATCTGATGGTACTAAAGTGCAAGCTCGCCGGAGCAACCGTATGGAATCACCCTCTACACTCCCATAAAACCCCCTCCAAGGATCTTCTCCCTCTCTCAAACTCCACCCTTTCCTCTCTCCCTTTCAAGCTCTCTTCAAGTTCCCCCCAAAAGAATGAAGCTATAATGGCTGCCAAAGACACTCTTCATGAGAAAGAAAGAGGTCTTTAAATAAATTTGTAAAACCAACATTATCATTCAGGCCAATATGAATATCGACTTGGCCAATCAGCATAAATTTTGCTCAATCAGCCCAGTCAGTTTGGGATGATTAGACAATTTTTTAGTCATATCATCCCGGCTGATCCTACGATCGTCCCAGCCGATGTGATCATGCAATCAGCCTTATATGCTTTCCTTAAATACCAAATTAATTTAGGAAAAATTGTGCTGGATTGGCCTGGCTGATTCCTGGGATGATGCCCGGAATAATGTCCAAAAATAAGTAATACCTAAATAGATCTTGCAGCTGATTCTTTTTTATTTGAGCCTATCATCCTGGCCGATTTGCTTAATGATAGTTGCCTTAATAAGGATGCCCTAACTAGGGTTTATGTTTTTGAACTGAACATCTAGACTGATATAAATATCGTCCTGGACAATGTTACAAAAAATAGTAAACTCTAGGAAATAGTCAAAAATTCTCCCAAGGTGTGTGTGTGCCAGGTTACTTAGCATCAGGAACCACATTTTTTACAATAGACTCAGGAAAGAGAAAAAGTACAAACTGACTCAGACTTAATCTACCCAATTTTGAGCTAGCTTGAGTTGCACTCAATCTTGTGGACCTCAAAAGTTAGTAGGCAAGGCAGTTGTAGAAAATCATGAATGTTTGTTATCATCAAAACTCTAATTCATGAAAATAGATCCGTAACAATCTCCCCCTTTTTGATAATGGCAAACATTATTGGTTGAATTTGCAAAAATAAAAAGACTTTCTCCTAATCTCTCCCTTACTAAAGTAAAACTTTTAAAAAAATAAGGGTAATCAAATTTTTTTGTTGTTTTTAATTTTTGTAAAAAAAGGTACAAATACAATAGTATGTTCTCCCCCTTTGACATTATCAAAAAGAGAAGAGGCACAAAAAAGTCTTAAAAAAGAAAAAGTTTCCTCATATTTTATTCATAAACTTAGTAAGGAATGGATTGACACCACATAATCTAGTAAAGGTAAGAAATTTAGAAATTATTAATCCAAGCTCAAGTTCTTTTAAAAGATCAAAAACTTTTTAATCCAATATCTAAATAAAGGAATAAATTAGAAGAAGAAACACTAATTTTTCAAAACTCTTTTCATAAAATATATCTAATAGAAGATTAATACAAAAATTGGTGAATCAAGAATCATGATTTTCAAGATCAAGTATCGAAAATATCAAGGGTTTTCTTAATCTTCAAGTAATACATAAAAAGTAAGCATGCTCTTTGTGGGCTCATTTTATGCCTCTTGTCAGTTTTTGGCGCACTTTATGCATCTTTTACTTTTTGATACAATTTATGTATCTTTCTTAATTTGGCATCTTTGCGCATCTTTTGATTTGGTGTCATTGGTCAATTATTTCTTTTATGAATATGCTACATTTCTAAAATTTTAAAAAACAAAAGGTAGATTCAACAACTTGCAAAATAATAAAGGAAAGAACACACCAGATTTATAGTGGTTCAATCAAACCTTGACCTACGTCCACTCCTAAGAGACACCCTCCGAGGATTGCACTAAACTTAGTGTCTCTCCTTTAGCCCCTACAGCTAGGCGTAGAAGCCCTTATAAAATCACTTCCACCTTCCCCGGTGCGACAGAGTAGTTGGTTCCTTTGACACCAAAGTGATCTTCTTCTTCCCAGAACTTCCCTCGAGACAAGCCTTAAATCTGATGGTACTAAGGTGAAAGCTCACCGGAGCAACCGTGTGGAATCCCCCTCCACACTCCCTTAAAATACCCTCCAAGTATCTTCTCCCTCTCTCAAACTCTACCCTTTCATCTCTCCCTTTCAAGCTCTCTCTTCAAGTTCCCTCCAAAAGAATGAAGTTACAATGGCTGTCAAAGTTACTCTTCATAAGAAAGAAAAAGGTCTTTAAATAAATTTGCAAAATCGACATTATCGTCCAGGCTGATATGAATATTGGTCTGGCCGATCCGCATAAATTTTGCTCAATCAGCCCGGTCGATTTGGGACGATTAGATAATTTTTTATTCATATCGTCCCAGCCGATCCTACGATCGGCACAGCAGATGTGATCTTACAATCAGCCTTACTTTCTTTCCTTAAATACCAAATTAATTTTGGAAAAATTATGCTAGATCGGCCAGGCCGATGCCCCATATGATGTCAAAAAATAAGTAATACATAAATAGATATGGCAGCTAATTCTTTCTGATTTGAGCCTATCTTCTTGGCCGATACAAAATCATCCAGGATGATGTGCTTAATGATAGATGCCTTAATATGGATGCCCTAATTAGGCTTTCTATTTTTGAATCGGTCGTCCAGGCCGATATAAATATTATCTCGGATGATGTTATCAAAAATAGTAAACTATATGAAATAGTCAGAAATTCTACCAAGGTGTGTGTATGTAAGGTTACTTAGCATTAGGAACCACATTGTTTATAATAGACTCAAGAAAGAGAAAAAATACAAACTAACTCAAACTTAATCTACCCAATCTTGAGCTGGCTTGAGTTGCACTCGATCTTGTGGACCTGAAAAGTTAGTAGGCAAGACAGTCATAGAAAATCATGAATGTTTGCTATCATCAAAATTCTAATCCATGAAAATAGATCCGCAACATTTTTAAGCTTCCTTTTCCTATTTAAAATATCCTTCATGAATTTTACATAAGTGGGCATCTATTCTAAACTTTTATAAAAGGGAATATTAATAGTTATTTTTTTAAATACTTCTAAAAATTTTGAGAACTTTTAATCAAAATTTTGTTTGATAAATCCCGGAGGGAAAGGTGGTGGTGATCTCTCTTCTACTCTCCTGATAACTAGTTCAGGTTCTTTGATAAGTTCAGGTTTTCTGTTGAAGATTTAGTATTTTCATACTCAACTTTACCAACATCTTTTTTGTTTAAATAGATACCTTTGTTAGGACCTCCCAAATCATTCCCACTTTTAAGTTGGATATTATGACACTGATCTTCAAGTTTTTTGTAATTAATCAACCTATCAAGTTTCCCTATTTAATCTTCATTTTTTTTTAGCATAAGATTGAATTTGTGATTGGATTTCTAATTATAAAATAATGCTTTCTAAGGGTGTTTTCTCATTTATTTCTTGATAAAATCATTAAAAATTTGAAATATAACTGTGGTGTCATTTCTAGAATCGATGTTGAAGTTATCGTATCCATTTACTTTATTGTTAATCTTGAAGTAATATATTTTTTAAGAAATTAATACAACTTGTGTAATCATAATTAATAAAGTAACTAGTTCATTAATTCCTCCAATATTTTAGCATTTTCCCTACTAGCATGCCACTAGAAATTATTTGTAGTCATTTCCTTTATTAATTTATAGGTTTCCACAAATGTCTTAGACATTAATAATTCTTGAGCTGTAGCATCAATTATGTCTCTAAGAGATCCTACTAATCAATTATAAAATATTTGAATAACCAACCAACCAGTTAATGCATGATGTGGACATTTTCTAAGCAATTCCTTAAATCTTCCCAACTCCTAAAAATGGTTTCTCCTTCAAATTGAGTTAAAGATGTTATGTCATTTCTAAGTTTGGCAATTTTTAAGGTGGAAAATTTTTAGTGAGAAACTTATGATCTAATACATTGAAAGAGATTATAGAACTTGGGGATAATGAATTCAAACACATTTTAAATTTATCTCCTAGAGAAAAAGGAAATAGTCTTAGTTTAATAGCATCATCACTAACACTATTAAACTGAAATATTGCACAAATTTATAAGAAACTATTTAAATACAAATTGGGACATTCTACAGGAGTTCCCCCAAATTGAGAGTTCTAAACTATTTGAATGATAGCTAGTTTTAATTCATAATTATTAGGTTGGATTATAGGTATATTTATTCTCCAATGAATTCCGCCAAATAAAAGGTTTGCATAATCCTTAAGAGGTCTATAATGATTTTGCTCTAATTCTGGTTCAATTATTTTTATGATCTTTTTAGTTTTTCAAATTTTAGAATGAGTTCTCTAAATTTTAAGATGAAATGTCAAAAGTTCCTTTCTATGTCTATAAAGAATGCAACCAAAATATACAAATTATCAAAGTAAAATAAAATAAATAATAAAAATAAAATTATGTCTAATAATAAATTTAATTTAACAAATTTGTTAAAATAATATAAAAAGCAAAATAAAACCATCGTAATGGCACCAAAAACTTGATTGGGGCTGTAAAGTAACCTACATAGTTATGAAATAATTTAGGGTTGTATAAAACCCTAATAATGCTTCAATTTTCTTTAATATAAAAATTATAAAATCCTAGTTAATATAAATAAGTATACACGTTGAATCAAGTAATATAGTGATAGAGTAGAGTATCGAACCCACAAGGAAGATATGCTCAATTACAATAATAGTTCTATCTATTGAAATTACACCAATTATCCTAGTTGATAAAAATTGATAATGTGGAGATTCAATCCCTTAAATAAAATTAGATAAAGATAAAGAATACTCTATATGGATATAATATTTTAGATTGATAAATATAAATTACTCATTTTTCATAATTACTCTCTCTTTTTTGGGATGAAATTCAGAGCATATGCATTCCTAGATCTTTATTGAGCTTGTAAGAATAAGGAATGTACACAAACCTCTTATGGTTATCATCTGCTTAAGAATTTAGTATATTTTATATCCTATGCTTAGGCATGAGGCGTTCTAATTCAATATTCTTGGTTATGCCTTCCTCCCTACATCGAGGCCCCACATTACATGTAATTTTAACTACAAATATGACCACTATATGTATTAAATTAAGATATAGTAATATTAAAAAGATCTTTTTATTCATTTAAAGAAAAAGAGAACTCATTAGTACTACATATGATATGTACATCATCATTCCAAAACTAGAGAATTTAGCCATACATGGAGTAGGATTTAAGCTAATGCAATTTCATTAATAGCATGATAAAAAGAAGATACAATAGATAGATATCACCAGAATGGTTTAATGGTTATCTTATACACACCTTCTCTTTACTTACATATTTGTTTCAACAAATAGAAGTGAAACACTCTAATGATAGTCTCAAGTGCTTCTCTAAATTCCCTTTGTTGTAACCCTAAGGGAAATTTAGAGAAGCAATCTTAATTATATTAAAATTATCTAAGTGACTGAACTCCCTTACAAATATAATATAATGACTATTTATAAAAAATTACAAAGTAGGCATCTATCACTGTGGCAGTATATAATTATTAGCGTCACTATGCCTAACAAATGAATTAATGTTGTTGTGCTGTATTTCTGGTTCCGTCGTAAAGGTTGTTGATGAGGATCAATTACTTTGAGAACAGTCATGTTATTTCATTGACAAATCATGACTTTGGGAAGTTACAACAGATACACTGTGACATACAATGTTTTGAATGTTGAGCATAGAAAGATCAATTTTAGCGCTAAGGCATTATAGACTGTACCGCAACAAAGATGTTCGACAAAGAACATGGCACTGTAAAGCTAAACTTTTGATGTCGTAGTATTGTTTGATAGAGAATTTAGCACTGTAATGTTGATATTCAAGTGCTCTAGATGTGTCTTTGATGGTGCTACAATATTGATTATTCTAATGCGGTTCTATCTGAAACTTAGAATTTTATGTCTTTTATGTATTTTTCAAGCACAATAAAACTAAATAATATTTTTTTACTAAAAATATAACACATAAAATAACACATTATTTACACTTATCAGTGAATTATTTAGAATTGTAATTATAAATGATTATTGTAGATTCACCCTCATAAAATTTTTAGTAAATAAAAATGAATCATTTAAAGAGTTTAGGAACTTTTAAAAAGGATTCAAAGGAAATTTGGTTATTTAATTTTTATAATTCATAGTGGCCATAGAGATGAATTTAAAAATGATAAATTTTATTAAATTTTCTAAGAATTCACAATATAGTATAAGTTTTATGCCACTAAAACTCCAAAAATGAATGGAGTAGCGAAAAGAAAAAATAGGATGTTAGTAGAGGAAGCTTGGGAAATTTTAAAAGAATATGGTTTATAAAAATATTTCTAGGTAGAGGTTGTGAATACTTCCTTCTATATGCTAAATCGAGTGAATGTTAGATCCAAACTAAATAAAATACCTTAATAATTACTTAAGGGTAAAACACAAAATTTATCTCACATGCATGCATTTGGGTTTAAATTTTTTGTGCTAAATAATGGAATACCTCACTTAGGAAAAGTTGATGCAAAGGCAGACAAAGAAGTATTCATAGGATATTTCTCTATAGGAAAAGCTTTTATGGTATTCAATAAAACAACATTAGTTATAAATTAATCCACCCATGTTGTATTTGATGAATCAGATTAGCTTATTGAAGTTAGGATAGATAAAGATGATGAAACAAAGATGACCCATCGAGTTGAAAGTAGTGTTGTAAAAAATGGACAAGAAGTTCAAGATGCATTACCAAGAGAATGGAGGTATTCATCTGGTCAGTCTAGAGAGTTTATCTTAGAATATAGGTTAGCCACAATTATTTATTTTTACGATAGAACCCAATTGTAGATCAAGCATTAGTTGATGAATTATAGAGTTAAGTTATACAAAAAGTACTGAATCAATTTACTAGAAATGATGTGTGGGAGTTTTTTAGTAGACTTTCTAATAAGAGTATAGTTGAAGAAAAAGGGTATTAAAAATAAGTTAAATGACTTTGAGTTAGTATTTAGAAATAAGGCTATGTTAGTAGCTAAGGAATATAATTAAATAAAAGGAATAGATTTCAAAGAAACCTTTGCCCCTTTAGCTAGATTAGAGGTCATATGAGTGTTATTAGAATTTACATGTTTTAAAGGATTTAAATTTTATCAAATGGATTTTAAAAATGCCTTTCCGAATGGAGTAATAAAAGGGAATGTCTACTTAGAATAATCACTAGATTTTAAAAAAAATCTTTTTCCAATCACATTTATTAGCTTAAGAAACCACTTTATGAGCTTAATTAAGAAACTAGGGAAATGTGCAAAAGATTTAGCATTTTTTTGTTTGGAAAATCCTTTGTTAAGGGTAGTGTAGACACCACTTTATTCTTTAACAAAGTTAGAGAATATATACTCATAGTATAGATTTAAGTTCATGATGTTCTCTTAGGATCCACTAATGATCATTTATGAAATTTATTCTCTTTGACTATGAGTAGTTTATTTGAAATGAGTATGATGGGTGAATTAACTTATTTTTTTAATTTTAGTTTAAATAAAAGAGAGGATGGAACCTTCCTAAGCCAATCTAAAAATATTAAAGAATTTTAAGGAAATTTGATATGGAAGCTTATAAAGTATGAATACTCCAACGAACATAACAACCCAAGTAGATATGAATTTAGATGACAAAACTATAAATCCTAAGAAATATATAGGTATTATAGATTCCTTACAATACCTGACTGCAGGTAGGCCTAATATAATATTTAGTGTTTATCTATGTGCTATATATCAAGTTGATCATTACTGTTAACCTCATTTTGGTCTGAGTTTAGATATCTAAATAAAAGTTTCTATATTGATTTCATTTTCTTGAACTCCTCTTTAATGCTTAAATATATTTCATCAATGTGCTCTAGCATTGTGATTTAACCATTAAAACTTAAATTAGTCATTTGATAATATCGCTGGTAGTCATTTTACCAATAATTTAATCACTAGCAATCACCAAATAATTATTCATAATCAAGGAATTTCTAAATTTAAAAATCTTAATTCAACTATAAACCTCAATTTTAAGTGAAATCCATATCCTAATGAAGCTTAAAAATTTAAACCATAAGATACAATATTTGATTCTAAAGCCTGAAGCCTTTAGAATTTTCCCTTTTTTTGGAAAATTTTTAATTAATTCAAAACCCAGAGTGAATGCTATTGAATGGTGTTTGATAATTTGCTTATTTATTAGTTATGTCCCTATTGTCTATCTAACCATTTTGGATGCTTTTATGTCCTTCTAAATGTTAGAACATGAAGAATTACCCAAGCCTGCAAAACCTTTAAATATTCATAGCATATACCACTAGACATGTCATCTTATTGCAAACTATCTACAGAAGCTTTGGACTCACTTAAAATAGGTTTATAATAAAAATAACTTTGATTTTAACTCCGTTTAACTCTTGGTAGACCATTTTAGACCAAGAAACCATTAAACCCCCTAAAAAAAATCCTAAAACTTAACCTTTGAATAGAGCATTCTTCGTTCAACCATTCAATGACCCAGGACCAATTATAATAAACTCTAAACAAAATTTGGAGTGGATTGAGCCTAAACTAAACCTTAGAGTTAAATGCTCATATTATTCAGAACATCCTAAGAACCTCTTTTACTCCTAATACTGGTGATAAGATTAATATTACACCTATCTTATCCATTATGGCATATTTTTGTACAAACAAAATTTTATTCAACATCACAGACATAATTATCCAGTACGTCCAAAACCTAATCACAATTAGCAATCCTAATACATGCATTAATAGAATCTACCCATAAGACACATTATAGCCAAC